TATTCTTTCGAGCTCCAAAAATGACATTTTGGGGTTGGTTGGGGGCTGATTTTTCTGTTTCATTAATATTTTCCACTTGTTTATGATTAGATCTCCTGTTTACTTTAGTCCATGTGTTCCTCTACTTCTTAGAGCAAGTGTGAAATCATTTCTATCAAGAATTCACCTTGTACTCTGTTGCGAAGGCTTTCTCTAGTGGAATTTCTGTTCCTTTTTATTTTCTGGTTTGTTGTTATTGTTGTTCAGTTGTTAAGTGCCATCGAGTAGTAGGCGACTCATAGCGACCCTGTGAATGAAAGGCCTCGACGCTTGCATGACTTATCTTTTCTCCAGGTTCATAGGGTTTCCGGAGGCACGCTGCTTATGGAAGTGGATGAAGTTGGAACCGGGTAGCTGGCCCTCCAGTGGGTTTTCAGAGGCAGTAAATCACACCGGAGGAATCACCCATCCTTCTCCCACAGAGCAGCTGGTGGATTAGAACCATTTACCTTTGGGTGTGCAGTGTCATTCCTTACCGCTAGCTCGGCCGCCAGAGCTCCCTTTTCTGGCAGAAGAAAGACTTTCTTCCTGCTCCGTGTCTGTCTTGTAATTGTGAGCTCGCAGTTGGCATTCTGAATGTTGTTGTTAGGTGCCTGTGAGCCCTCTGCATCTCGTGGTGAGCCTGTTTGTAAGCTAATGAAAGCCTGTCTGTTCCTGCACATCTCAGGACCGCTGAGGATGGCCCAGCCGGCCACTGCTGCAGTCCCTGCCTCAGGCCGGCTCTGTGAGGATCTTCCCCTTTTACGTAGACTTTACTAAGCATGACGCGCTGTTCCCCAGGGACTGGTCCCCCAAGAGAACATAACCAAAGTGCACAAGACAGACATCTCCCATCCTGGCTTCTGAGAAGCTCTCTTCCTTCCAAGATAGCCAGTCTGAAGTGTATTTCATATTCTTCATATTATTTTCTTCTTTGCACCATAGTGCGAAGGCTTGTTTGTTTGGTTTTTAATTTTACTTTATTATTATTTTTGTGTGTGAAATCAAATTTCCATACTTCCTTTGTGGGTGTGTCAGAGGCAGCGCGAGTGGCACAGGACAGAGCAGAGTTTAGGCCTGTTGGACATAGGGTCACTATGAGTCGCAGGCGACTCGACGGCACATAACAACGACAACCGTCAAATCGGATCTGACTGGTACAGGAGGAGACTGTCCCTCCTTCTCCAGCAGAGCATCTGGTGAATTTCGAACCGCGTACCTCTGGGATTGCGGTGCAGCTTCTTGCCACCGGGCCACCAGAGCTCCCTTCTTTTTTTTTGATGTACCTTGCAGACATTGTCTTTCATTTCAGTGACACTTTTACTCCTCTCTGTTGACCCTCCGAGTTTGGGTCTGTCTTTGTATAAACTGTGAGTACTGTGGCGGCTCTGTCAGTCGGAGGTGACCCTTTCCCCGGGGTCTGTTGGACACTTGTAAGTCGGCTGCTGATTGGTTCATCGGCACGTCCGGGTGAATCTCGTGGGGTTGGTTTCCTTTGTCCTAGTGGCCGCTGAAGTCTGTCCCGTCTCCCCAGCACTGATGAGGAGCTGGGATTCCCCCACCTCGAGCAGCAGCAGAGCCCCTGGTCACTGCAGATCGCCGCTGCGTGGCCGGAGCATCCAGCAGGCAGGTCAGCACTCAGCTGCCCATCACTTCCTGCTCCCACGGCGGCCGGCAGGAGCCCCGAGGTGCAAGCTCTAACGCTTCCTGGGGTTCCCTTACCACAGACCCACATTCGGCCTGTACACAACCTTCTTTTTTGTTTGTTTATTTGTTTGATTGATTTCTATTATTTTTATTATTACTGTTTTTAATGAAAGTTTATAGAGACTTAGGGTTTCCCGTCATTCATTGCTTGCACTTTTTTTAAAATTTTTATTGTATTATTTTTACATGTACCATCAAATCAGATCTGACTGGTACAGCAGGACATTGTCCCCTCCTTCTCCAGCAGAGCATCTGTTGGATTTGAACATTGTTTGCATTTTTCTCCCTGCCCACTCCCTATACACAACCTTCTAGATTCCAAGGAATTACGGGGAAGTTTGCAAATCCTCCATCCCTCAACTTACCTCACTTCCGAGTTTTTATTTCCAGACTGTTCTGCTTGTCTCTTGGTTTTTCCAGCTATGTTCTCTGGCCCCAGGACGGGTTTCCAAAATGTGCCCCTGGGAAGGACTTTGGCCAGAAGGAGACAGAATCAGGGCCTGCTTTTTGATCAAGGGTGGCTGCATAGGGTCTACAAGGCTGTACATCTTTGCAAAAGCAGACTCCGTCATCTTCCTGCCACAGAGCAGCTGGTGGCTTCAAACAGGCGGTCTTTTGGTGGCCAAGCCAGTGCCTAACCCACGCTGAGCCGGGGGTCGTTTGTGGCTTTTGCTTTGGTTTGATGCAACCCTGTCGGCGGCCTCCTTCAGGTCTGAACCAGCAACCGTGGCTCTTTGAGAAAGTTGGTTCTGCCCCCGCCCAAATGACAGTCTCATGGAAGGTGGGGTGGGACTGCTGCTGAGCTGACAATTGGCGCATGAGTTCAAGGGAAGTTAAAACCCCCACGACTCCCCGACTTAGGCCAGGTGCCTTACTCTTGACCAAGAATGTGCTCAGTTACTGTCAACCTTTAATTCATCTCCAGAATGATTGCTGTACCTCTTGCCAGTTTCTTTCTTTGCTGCTTCTGTAGCCTGCTGTATGTGGAATAGCCACGTCTTGCATTTTTGGTAATACTGCCCACCCACCCTTTTGTTAAGCTTTATAATAGGGTCTTCTCACTACACCCTCAGTTCTCCGGTTAGAGACTCCGCCAGCAATCAGAGCCCTTTCTTTTGTGCTGAGGGGATGGTTGGTCGGAATTCCGTACGCTCACATGGTGTGCTGTGATCACCTGCCGAGTGGCCCGTGGAATCCTTACACGCTTTGCTTCCCCCTGCATCACCGTGTACAGGTGGTCATTGCCCTGTCTGTCAAGGAGCTCTGTCGACGTGTGAGGCAGTCGATTACATCAGCCACAGTGACGGAGGAAGACGAGGCACGGACCACCCTAAAGATTGGCAGCCTCAGAAACAGCTTGAAGGCTGTGGGTTTGGGTTTTGGTGTTATGTGGTGTAACAGGCGATCGTTTATTCGTGTTCGAAAATAGCCTGTTCTCCGTGGGTATTGATCTCGTTATCTACAAATGCTGTGGTAACAGAGATGCCCCCGGCTGCGTGACTTGAACAAATGGGAATTTGTTCTCTTAAGAGTTTAGGACGCGATTCTGCCACGCAGCTGCTGTGTTGGGGTGCGTGTGGAGTCCCTGCTCTAGAGCTTGTAATAAAATCCCTCATGTTCTTGCTTTGAAAAAAAAAGAGTTTAGGACGCTAAAGGTACAGATTCAGGGTCCCAGCCCGTCTTGGGGCTCACTGTCCTCACACTCGGGGGGTGGGGGTGTGTGTTTGTGAAAGTGTTGTGGAGGAAAGTCCTTGCTGTTTTCAGCATCTGTAGGCCCGGTGCTCACTGGAGAGCTCTGTGTGTTGGCTTCCCTGAGCTTAGGGAGCTTTGTCCCCAAGGTCCGAGAAGACACACTCCACTCCTGGCAACCATTGCATGTAGGTGACTAAGTCCCCCAGGGCTCCTTTCATCCCTTCACTCTATTGAGATGACAGGTATCCCGGTCCCAGGCCAGGTGTTCACGCCTTACATCGGTTAGGACTGTCATGGGGTGAGAGGGTGTTGCCACCCACCCTTGATCCTCCTGTGACTCTTTGGAGGATCAGATCGTAGGGGACCAACCCAGAGCTTCCACACTGTGTCCTCCCGTGCGGCAGGTAGGTCATTTAATAAGCGTTTCTTCAGAACATTATCTTGATGGTTTTACACATCATACTGCTAAAATGTCTCTCTGATCTTCCTCTATGTCTTTTTTCTTTTTCTTTCTGAATTGCTAGTTTTACTTACTTACTAGATAAAATTTTTCTTTTCTTTTTATTGTAGACTAATTACAATACGGTGCTGTGCTTCAGGTTTTTGTAATTAGTAGTTACACATTAATGGTTGCATCTGTTTGTTTTCAAGCATGAGACACCCATCAGTCTTCTGTTGAGGGTGGCCAGGGAAATGATATGTCAGCATCCCTCAGTTAGGATCTCGAGTCTGTGCTTCTAATCCTTGGGAGACTATAGTTGGACAACTTTTCATTGAAATTAGTGTTTTTTTACCATGATAACCAGGATACCATGTTTCTCAGCATAAAATAATTTGCCTTCCACCAGTTAAGAGGAAGCCTGCGGTTTGTCTGTCTCTTTCAGATACCTCCATTAATTACGTGATCAAGGAGTTACCACCGCCAGAGGAAGACACGGATGACGAAGACTCGTACCACACCGTGATCATCGGCGAAGAAGGCCATGACATCGATGAAATTGAGAGTCACTGGCTGGCCCAGGACAAGCAGCAGCAGAAGGATCACAACATGCTCGTGCCCTATAACCCAAACCGCGCCGGGCTGGCTGAGCAGCATTTCAACAAGTCCTGGACTAACCAGAGCGTTTCCGTGAGTGAGACCACCTACCAGTACTTCAGACAGGACTCCTTCCTCAGCTACTTGTTAAAACTGAAATACAATGTTGGCTTTGCTTCAAGAACATACATGAAACGCTTTCAAGGTGAGTTTGGCTTACACTTTCTATCGCACCTGTCGGAACTGCAGAGGTTTCGAACTGAGGAGGAGATCTTTGAATGCCGTCAGGTTGAAATGCTTATCAGCAACGGTTCCTTAGTTCCGTCCCTTCCAAACGCGCCGATGAGTGGCCAGACCAACATCTGTAGTAACTACGAGGAGATTCTCATGCACCCGTTCCTGCTCACCCAGCAGCAGAACATCTACACGACAGAAACGCCGTTTGCCTGTAACGAGTCCTGGGAGGCTTTCAGCCGATGTCTGATCCTCAACAATCCAAGATTTCGCCCCGAGCACAGACCTTACATGTGCGATGAATGCGGCAAAGCCTTTTCGGATCGTTCCACTCTCGCCCAGCACAAGAGAATCCACAGCGGCGAGAAGCCTTTCAAATGCACCCAGTGCGGGAAGGAATTCAGCCGACGCTCTTACCTGTGGAGTCACGTACGCATTCACACAGGAGAGAAACCTTGCATATGCAATGACTGCGGCAAGGCCTTCAACCGACTGTCCAACCTGGGCAGGCACCAGAGGATCCACACGGGAGAGAAGCCATTCAAGTGCAACGTGTGCGGCAAGGACTTCACCATACGCTCGCACCTCTGGGGTCACGAGAGGATCCACTCGGGGGTGAAACCCTTCAAGTGTGAGTACTGCGGCAAAGCGTTCACCGAACGGTCGAACCTGACTCAGCACCAGAGAATTCACACGGGTGACAAGCCCTTCAAGTGCAACGAGTGCGGCAAGGACTTTCCCACGCGCTCACACCTCTGGGGCCACGAGAGGATTCACACCGGAGAGAAGCCTTACAAGTGTGACGACTGTGGCAAAGCCTTCACCGGGAGCTCGAACCTCACGCAGCACAAGCGAATCCACACCGGAGAGAAACCGTTCAAATGCAACGTCTGCGACCGGGCCTTCACCCAGAATTCAAGCCTTACCGTTCACCAGAGAATCCACATCGGCGAGACGCCCTTCAAGTGCAAGGAATGTGGCAAGGCCTTTAAGCAGTACTCGAGCCTGACCCGGCACCTCAACATCCACCCCGGAGAGAAGCCGCACAAGTGCTCCATGTGCGAGAGGACTTTTATGACCCGTTCACACCTCTGGGACCATGAGAGAATGCACAGTGGAGAGAAACCCTTCAAGTGTCTGGTGTGCGGCCGGGCCTTTCGGAAACCCTACGACCTTAGAGTTCACCAAAGAATTCACACGGGGGAGAAGCCCTACAAGTGCGTGGAGTGTGGCAAGTCTTTTAACAGGTTTTCACAATGGACCGAACATCAGGTGGTTCACTACAGGGGCAACTAAGCCTGCCCTCCTGCTCAAAGGTTAACCCACCTCAGAAGCTAAATTCCAGAGAGTAATTACACAGACTGCAGCAGCAGGGGCACTTTCAAATACAGAGACTGTGGGAGCAGCGGTCTGACCTCCAGTAACTTCAAAGGGGAGGCATCCCCGGCCCCAGGACAAAGCCGACTGCAGTGAGGTCAGACGTGCCCCCCACCCCCCATGCCCTGTGCAGTCACCCAACAATTCCAGCCCCAAGCGACAGCTCTCAACTACTTTGCCACCCCGTGGGTTTGAAAACTCACTGCCGTGGCCACACAAGAGCTCAGACGATACATCCCCAACTCAGAAGTAACCGGTGCCAGTTCCGGTTGGAAACACTCAGGATACGATTCCTCCACCAGGACAGCTTTCTTCCTCACGGGTGGTCTCTGCCGCCGCCCCTCCGCCCCCAGGACGGCCATCGGCACCTGACGGCAGCAGGAATCGGGCCCACACCCCCACCTGCTGGACCCTCTGTTCCTCCTCGAGGGTGGTGAGATTTCTCCTTTCCACCCCCAGGCCTGCTGAATTGATTGAACCCTGGTTGGATGGCAGGGCTGACTGATCCCCATGTACTTGCATGCTCCCACCGAGAAGGGACTCCATACCGTATTTCCATTGTTAGCAAGCTCCCCCATCCTCTCTGTGGGCCACAGGCAAGTCCTGTGTGCACAGCCCCGCCCTGCCGTGCACAGCAGAGATTGGACAGGACCGTCCTCGTAAAGACGGCAGGGTTCTTTCCTGTTGTACATAGAGTTCCTGCAAGTCGGCGCCAACCGGACGGCGGCTGACGGCCACAACCCCGAAGTGGTTAAAGCAAAGCCAGTGACTCAGAAAGCCATGATGACAAGACAGAATCCTCTCGAAGTCACGGGACGTGGACTGTCAGAGGAGCAAAAACAGCGTCCCGAGGCCCAGTTTCATTTATCAGCGATCTTTATTCTCATGAGCTTGATTTAGGAGGACCACGGTACTCCTCCTGTCGGCCCCCTGGAGGTGTGCGGTGCGTTACTGTGTGTTTCTGTTCCCTCCTTCGTCACAGACAGTGCGTGCGCCATCATCTTCTCCGGCGGTGGGTCAGGAAGGTGAGAAAGGGACAACTTCCAGCACATCTGTGCTCCTTGGAAAAAAGTAAGTCCTTGGAATTTTTATATAAGACATGTTGTGTCCGTGGGATGGGACCATGGAGACACCAGATGTAAAGCAGTGCTTTTGATCGCCCTCTAGCACGCACCCAGGGTCCTTGCCCACAGGTGTGTTGGTACGACTGGGGGCCCCTGGACGACCAAAAAGGAGGGCTCTGCGGCTGACCTTGAGCCCACGGGCCAGCCCGTTAAGAGTGGCTTCCTTTTGGAGCAGTATTATAGGCTACCAAGGACTACTGAATTAATGACAACGGTAGAACAAACCCAAACTGAGGGGCCCGTAGCATCAGTTCCAGCGTGGCGACCCTGCGTTGGGACTTTTCCAAGGCTGTGCATTGAAATGGAAGGAGGTGGCCCGGTTCTCCCCTTCGGAGCCTCTGGTGGACCGGAACTGCGGGGCACGCAGCCCTGATGCCAGCCCCTCGGTTTGCTGTGAACTGCACCACCAGAGACCCCCACGTGATAGACACAGAGGGGGGATGTGACGGGCGCCTGCCCACTTGAAAATAGCTGCCATGTGTCAGCGAGGAATGAAACAAAAACCCTGGTCTTTGAAAAGAATCGGGATCCCGCGTATACGGGATTCGCAGCTAGCTACTGATAGTTTGCTACACCGTTTTACTTAGGATCTCAGAGCTCGTTTTATGTAATAAAGTTGAAGCATCTTCTTTTTTTTCCCATGAGCCTGAATTCTCTCTCTTCTGTCGGATCTTTTGTGTATCATTGAGCAGCTTCCTAACGAGCTAACAGCAAGCCTTAGGTTCTCAAGGTTGAAGGACAGCCGAAGTCACGTCTCGCCTTGGTGCAAACAAGCAGTACGTCATTCCGGGGCGACATCCTTGTCGTTGGCACCCAAGTTGTTAACCGCCACGCTCTGCTCCTTGGAGATGTCTATGAATGTGATACAAATGCTGTCGGCCTAAATCTTACATTTCTGCCCTTCTCCTGTCTGCATCACGTTTCTTGAATGAATATGCCCCAGGAAATGCTATTTCTACCTGACTTTCTTTTTTATTGTGAAAATAACACACGTCAGAAGGCCCACTAGCACAACTTTGATACTTACAGATTGGTGACATTGTCACAGATCACTGTTACTTGCTGTAGTTTCCCAAGATATCCCAGCACCATTAACGTAAATTTCCAAATATATCCTTCCCCCCACCCCAAAAAAAAGCACGTGACACTCTTCCTTCTCCTCTCTCTCTCTCCCTCCCCTGGTTTTAATATTTGGTTTCTCTGCTTACTTGGCAAACTGTGATCATGCGGTATTTGTCCTTTTGCAACAAGTGTTTTTCAGGGGTTCCTCCCTGCAGGGGCACAGAGAGACCTTGATGGCCGTGGAGTATCCCAGTGTGTGTGTGTGTGTGTGTGTGTGTTAGACGCATATGTTTCATGCACGTTATTTGTTGATGGACTTGAGTGTTTCCTGCTTTGGGCTGTTAGGAGAGGGCCACAGTGTACCTGGGTGCGCTTCTGTCTTCTGGGGTGGAATCCCTGGATCGGATACGCGTGCTCTCTTCAGCTCTCAGAGGGACCGCCGGCTCTTTGCCCACTGCGGCTGCCATCGTTCAATCCCACCCGCAGTGCGTGAGGGTGCCCCTGACCCCACACCCACCCTCCCAGCCTCACCACTTCTCTCGGGGTGTTTCTGTCTGTTCAACAAAGACTGGCCAACTCTAGACTCCCTGGGTCCATTTGTTTTTGCACAGCCCTTGAGATCAGGCGATTTGAACATTTTCAAAATTAACTGTCTGTAGATGTGTGGTGTGTATACACAGCAAGGCGAGGACGGTGAAACTCCATCCTTCAGCACACCTGGGGCACGCTGTCAGGCGGCGCCAGGCCTTAGAAAAAGGTGCCTTGCTGGGAATGCTCAGAGGAAGGCCGCCAGAGAGAGAGGGATGGACACTTGAGTCCAGCAGAGGGCTAGAGTAAGGCAGCAAGGAGGCTCTGAGGTCCACTGTGATGTTGGACAGTCATTGTAGACACCACAGCACCTAACAGCGTGTGTGTGGCAACCTCAGACTCTCAGCCACCCTCCTCTAAGTACCAGGAGACTGCCCATCTCTCCCTCATGGGGCTGCTGGTGGATTTGAACCACCAGAGAAGTGCAGCCTCCCTGTTAATTTGGTTAGAATCACTAAACATAACCGCTGAATGCATGTATAAGAACATTTGCCAGTTCCGCTTTCACAAAAAGTTGGAAATAGAATTACCATTTGACCCAGCAATTCCATTACTGGGAATATACCCCTGGGAATATACCCCAAAGAAACCAAAACTGCCACCCAAGCAGATATATGCACACCCATGTTTATTGCGACTTTGTTAAAAATAAAATTTTTTTAAAAAATGCCAATTTCGAAGGCTTTTGACCTCCTTCCAGAGGTGATGGAAACACGTGAACCAGAGGCTGTCCAGCCTTCAAAGTCTAGTGCTTTTTCTGCAGGCTGAGTTTTCAAGTCCTGCTTGGGAGTTGACTCCCATAGTGATCCCATGTCAGAGGTGTGGCCGTTCGGGCCCGCTGTCACGGGCATGGATTGGTCCATCCCTGTGAGGGTCTCCATTGCGGCCGACTTGGCAGGATGTCCTTCACCGGGATACAGCCAAAGAACTCAAGAGCAAATCTCAGCCATCCTCATATCTGTGGGGCACTGGCCACACTCCCAAGACAGACTTCCCCCTTTCTGAGAGTCAAAACAGCTCAGCTCACTGTGGAGACAGAAATGTGTGCTTTACTTAACCTGTCAATCAGCCATTTCTGATGTCTGGGGTATTTTTTTAAAAGGTTTTTGCCTGTGCGTGTAAAATGCTCAGGGCATTTCTATCCAGGGCTCGAACAGCTACAAGGTGCCCAGATGTTCATGACAGCACGGTTCACAGCAGCCAGAAGGTAGGGTATTACCTACACATCCAGCAGCCAATAGACTTCAAAATGCAGACCTGCATACAGCGGACACGTGCCTGTATATAGAATCCCAAAGGCAAGTGCCGCCTACCCACTTGTTACAGCTTGGATGAGCCTGGGAAACAGATCCGTTGCAAAAGGACAGAGAGGGTGTTATTGATATGAAAAGCGAGACAAGGCAAAGGCATGTGTCACCAGGGAGGGAAGGTCGGGGGGCAGGGGGAAGTATTTGTTTAGAAAGGACTGTGTTTCTGTTTGTGGTGACAGCAAAATTGGTGAAGGCTGTGGGCGCTGGTAACCTGAGTCACGTAACTGATACCACCACTAAACTGTGTCCCTCAAAAATGTTGACCATTTGTACAAGAAAACATTAATCTGTTTAGTGCCACTTCAGTACTCATCATAGCTCATAAAATATAATGTGAGACTCAGAAAACATATCCCCAGTACAGGAAAATAATGCAAAATGGAATCAGAATGTTTAGGAGGCCTGAAGAAGAAGCTAAAATCACAAAGAGAGGAGTACGGACCTCAAAAATAATTGACCAAGAAATCAAAACCCTCTGCCTTGGACTCAAGTCCAGCTCATAGCGGCCCTCCGACAGGTGTCCTGAGTTCTGAGTCCTTAACGGGGACACTGCTTGTATTGATTCTGCAGAGAGTAGATGGATTCGAACCACTGTCCCCTCAGCGGCCTGATGTGTTAACTTGCTTAAGCCACCAGGGCTCTAGTGATTCAGGACATTTCAAAAGGAGGGCGGGATTCACAAGATAATACGTATGTATGTCTGTATATAACCTTATAAAACTGAAACCCATGAGCCATGCGTTGAGTTTTCCCACTACCATCCCAAACTCCTCTCTTTTGAAAAGCATTTTCCTTTAGCCTAGCCCTCAAGTTGACTGTCCATTACAAAACAGCA